AGTAGAGTGTGCGTGCGTGCATATGCATGTGTGCATGTGTGTATATGCATGTGTGCATGTGTGTATATGCATGTGTGCATGTGTGTGGGGGGTGTGCCTGTGTGCACCCTGACTCTCAGCGGAGTCGCAATGGCAAGGTGGATGCTCATCTAGGCTCTGTGAGTAGAGTGTGTGTGCACCCCTGGAAGGACACCTCCTGCCCGCCTTCCTCTTTCCTGAACAGGAGGGTCGCTGTCCCCTTTAAGGGGCACTGACGGCCCTCGGTCCTCAGGGGGCTGCGCAGTGAAGTGTGGTCTCAGTCAGCCAGCTGTGAGTCCCCGATGACACCAGCCTGTTACTCACTCATCCGCCTCATTCACTCCCTCCCTCCCTCCCTCCCTCCCTCATTCATTCACTCATGCACTCATTCACACATTCACTCACTCACTGCCTCACTCACTCCCTCACTCCCTCCCTCACTCACTCATTCACTCACTTACCTATCATTCACTCCCTCACTCATTCACTCACCTATTCACTCACTCACTCCCTCACTCATTCACTTACCTATTCACTCATTCACTCATTCATTCACTCATTCACTCACTCACTCCTTCACTCACTCACCTATTCACTCACTCATTCTCCCACTCACTCTCTCTGCCCCGCTCATCCCCTCAGTCTCTCACCCCCATCAGAACATCCCCAAGGCTCTTTCCCCACATGCCTGCATCGAGGCCTTGGACTGGGCAGGGGAGCACCGCAGGCCTGAGGCCCGGCCCCTGCAGAGACCCACTACGAGTTGGGAAGACACTCTGCCTTCATAGCGCCTCGGACAGAGCTGGCTCCCTGCAGGAGGTGACAGGTGCGGACTCCTGCACCCCCTGCGTCTAGGTCCCCGAAGGTGGCCCTTGGGGCAGGGCCCGGCCTGGCTCCAGACACTGTTGAGGAGCAGCAGGCATGTGAGACGACCACCAACAAGCGCATCCGGGTCAGGTGCTGCGGGAGCTCAGAACTGACTTGCTCTCCTGGAAGCGAGGGCAGCACTGACATACATGGGTCTGAGGCCCCTCGAAGGCAGTGCCCCAGCCTGGAGGGGGGCCTCGGTCCTGCCCCCTTCTCCCTTTCCCCTCCCTGACAGGCCTTGCCACTGGCTCGCACCAAGGCCGAGGGAGAAGCAGACACGCTTCCCCGGAAAGTGCAGGCGGCCACACTGCCCCGCACAGTGACCGACAGTACAGTGACCGGCAGCCTGTGGGGGCCCAGAGTGCAGTAGGCCCCCACGCTGCCCTCCCCGAGGCCCCACGAGGCCGCTCTGAGGAGCTCACTTGTTTGCAGCTCAGAAAAGCCGGAGCCCGAGCGTCAGACAGACACGGGCCTTGGCAGTTCCGCTGCAGCTCATGCACGAACGCCCGGACGTGCTGTCAAAACAGCATCTTCGCTGCTGACAACAGGGCCCGTCGTGCCGTCACCACATCCCAGGGGACCCGGGGCCCGGGCGCGGCGTCTGCCGTGGTAACCGCTCACGCACAACCCTGGGAGCATCTGAGGGACTTGGGGGAGGAGAGCTGTGATAACAACGCTTACTGGGCGCCCTGCGGGCGGCTGCTCTCTCTGGCCGAGGGGTCTCTGGTGAGCCGGACTGCTCAGGGCCGGGACTGCCTCCCCCCGCTTCCCCAAGGCAAAGCGGGCAGCTCTGTCAGCCCCCAACCCCAGGCCGCCTCCGCTCAGAGGCCCCACCGCCTCGCCCCTCCCAGCCTGTGAGCCCTCGGCCAGCAGCTGCCTCAGTGACGAGGCCTTTGATTGAGGCAGGGCTACGGTTCCCAAGGAAGGAACCGGCCCTCCCTCCGTGGGCGGCCATGGGAGACAGGGCATTGCTTCCGCCCAGCGAAAGGCCTGTGCCCGGGAGCCAGGGTTCCCGACAGGAAACAAAGGGCTCAGCAGACCAGCTCCTCCCCACGCTTCGCATGAGTGCGTGTGGCTAGAGAGGGCAGGGAGCTGCTCCTGTGTGTGCGCGTGTGTATGTGCGCACGTGTGTGTATGTGCGCACGTGTATGTGCGCGCGTGTGTGCACGTGCGCGTGTGTGTGCGTGCGCATGTGCACATGTGTGTGCTCACACGCGTGTGCAAGGAAGAGCAATCAGGTAGAAAGCAGGGAGCGTCCCCAGAGGCAGCTGCACAGAAAGGCGGCGGCAGGGAGGCTCTGAGCGCCGCTTCTGCCCCGCCGCCTGGCCTCGGCGGGTGCTTGTCCTGCGTGGGCCTCCCTCCCTCACCCAACACAGGACGCCCGGGCCCCAGGCCGGCCTGGCTAGTGCGCGAGACTAGAACACGAGAGCACAGCCCAGGAGCCAGCCCCGCCCCTCAACTACAGGCCAAGTGCACGCGTGGCCGGAGGGACGGCAGCCCCAGAGCCCCCCCTCCCCACACCTGCATCCCCCAGCAGAGCCAAGGGACCCTCTGGAGGTCCCAGGGGTGGGGAGGGCAGGGCTGGGACAGCAGGAGCAGGGAGCCCTGGGCCTGGGCGGGGAGGGGGCCCGCGGGACCAACGCTCCCTCTGCGGTGCGCGCTCACCAGAACACGTGGTCTTTGGTCACCTGCTCGTGCAGCAGCAGCCACTTCCTGCCCAGGTCACAGGACGCGTAGAGCTTCGGGGTGGAGAGAAGAGAGAGGCGCTTGGTCAGGAGGAGCCTCCCCTGAGAGCCTGGGGCACAGAGCAGCCCCCGGAGGCTGAAGGCGGGAGTGGGGCTCCCTGAAGGGCCCTCCCGACCACAGGCAGCTGGGGGAGCCAGGAGAGAGGCGGAGCAGGGGACCCGGGGCCAGCCCCGCTCACCTGTAACACACTCAGCCCCGCTCCCCTGTCGCACACTCAGCCCCGCTCCCCTGTCGCACACTCAGCCCCGCTCACCTGTAACACACTCAGCCCCGCTCCCCTGTCGCACACTCAGCCCCGCTCCCCTGTCGCACACTCAGCCCCGCTCACCTGTAACACACTCAGCCCCGCTCCCCTGTCGCACACTCAGCCCCGCTCCCCTGTCGCACACTCAGCCCCGCTCACCTGTAACACACTCAGCCCCGCTCCCCTGTCGCACACTCAGCCCCGCTCCCCTGTCGCACACTCAGCCCCGCTCACCTGTAACACACTCAGCCCCGCTCCCCTGTCGCACACTCAGCCCCGCTCCCCTGTCGCACACTCAGCCCCGCTCACCTGTAACACACTCAGCCCCGCTCCCCTGTCGCACACTCAGCCCCGCTCCCCTGTCGCACACTCAGCCCCGCTCACCTGTAACACACTCAGCCCCGCTCCCCTGTCGCACACTCAGCCCCGCTCCCCTGTCGCACACTCAGCCCCGCTCACCTGTAACACACTCAGCCCCGCTCCCCTGTCGCACACTCAGCCCCGCTCCCCTGTCGCACACTCAGCCCCGCTCACCTGTAACACACTCAGCCCCGCTCCCCTGTCGCACACTCAGCCCCGCTCCCCTGTCGCACACTCAGCCCCGCTCACCTGTAACACACTCAGCCCCGCTCCCCTGTCGCACACTCAGCCCCGCTCCCCTGTCGCACACTCAGCCCCGCTCACCTGTAACACACTCAGCCCCGCTCCCCTGTCGCACACTCAGCCCCGCTCCCCTGTCGCACACTCAGCCCCGCTCACCTGTAACACACTCAGCCCCGCTCCCCTGTCGCACACTCAGCCCCGCTCCCCTGTCGCACACTCAGCCCCGCTCACCTGTAACACACTCAGCCCCGCTCCCCTGTCGCACACTCAGCCCCGCTCCCCTGTCGCACACTCAGCCCCGCTCACCTGTAACACACTCAGCCCCGCTCCCCTGTCGCACACTCAGCCCCGCTCCCCTGTCGCACACTCAGCCCCGCTCACCTGTAACACACTCAGCCCCGCTCCCCTGTCGCACACTCAGCCCCGCTCCCCTGTCGCACACTCAGCCCCGCTCACCTGTAACACACTCAGCCCCGCTCCCCTGTCGCACACTCAGCCCCGCTCCCCTGTCGCACACTCAGCCCCGCTCACCTGTAACACACTCAGCCCCGCTCCCCTGTCGCACACTCAGCCCCGCTCCCCTGTCGCACACTCAGCCCCGCTCACCTGTAACACACTCAGCCCCGCTCCCCTGTCGCACACTCAGCCCCGCTCACCTGTCACACACTCAGCCCCGCTCCCCTGTCACCACGCGGAGCCAGGCCCTCACTGCTGGGGGCCCTGAATGAATGAGCACCCACCCTGGCTGGGGCCGGGGCTGCTACCATTTCCTGTAAAGCCCTGCGGTCTCTGTGGCGACTGCCCATCCCTGCCCCTGGAGCAGGAAAGCAGTGGGGACAGCACGCAACTGGCAGGCGTGTGCCAATAAAACTTTATCCACAAACAGGTGGCAGGCCACTGTCTCCTGACACTTGTCCAGGGTCCGTGATCGGAAATGATCACCTATGATACTGAGAGTTTTTAAAAAATATATAGATTTTTATTGATTTCAGAGAGGAAGGGAGAGGGGGAGAGAGAGAGAAACATCAATGATGAGAGAGAATCATTGATCGACTGCTTCCTGCACGCCCCCCACTGGGGATCGAGTCCACAACCCGGGCATGTGCCCTTGACCAGGAATCAAACCCGGACATTTTGGTCCACAGGCTGATGCTCTATCCATTGAGCCAAACCGGCTAGGGCCACAGACTCATTTCTT